CACACCAAGTAAGTTTTAAGTGTTCTTTTAAATCTTGTGTGAAATTGTTATTGAATGGATGAAATTCGATCCTTATGATTAATGTTTCTCAACATTCACTTGATTGGAGTGCATGCTCTAAAACCAATATAGATGCAAGCTAACGCAACATGTTGCATTTTATTGCAATATTATGTGCCCACTAAATGTGAAAACAAGTCTTCCATCATAGCAAGTTGTCCATATACAACAAAAACTGATCTTACAAGTTAGTTGTTGTGCATACTTTGACTTCTGCAAAGCACATATATACGTTTGTACATTTGTTCTATTATGTCATTGGAGAGTTTGTAGTTAACTATATGCATATTTATTATTATCATATTCTTTTTCAATTAGAGAGGGACGTCTTCTACACAACTCAAGTGACCAGAAGGCCAAGAAGTTTCATGATGGCGTCTAAAACTTGCAAGTTGTGGATCACAAGGGAGGAGGGTTAATTTTTCTTTTTTATGGTACATACATTTTTCTATCTTTGTATTTCATGTTTCTATCTTTGTATCTCATGTGGTGATTGGTGACTCTCACACATGCTAGCTAGCCTAAGGTTACTATGGATATGAAGGAACACTTATGATAATCTTCATGTATAATTGTGGAGTGATCTGGCAGATCTGTTCTAGAGTTTATCTTATTAATTGTTGTTTTATGCTTTCTTGTCCTTTATCTTATTTCCCTCAATCTGTTTTAGCCTAAGGTTACTATGGATAAAAAGAAACATCTAAAAGTTCTCTGCTCATTTTATGTGGCTAAAAATCTGAATTCTTGGCCTGGATTTCATCACATTTCAAGCAAGCCAAAGATCATTGTATAGTAGCAAAATGAAGAAAATTTCAAGCCTTGCCCGTGGATATGACAGGCACCAACGAGCATGTGTTTCAACTTGTTAATTCTTAGTGATAACCTAAGACACAAAAATGAGTTAGTTATAACATGGGGATCCTGACATGCTTGATTTGTGACTGCAAATCATCTCTTTCTCGAATGCATTCATTTATGCATATTAATAGCTCATTCGGCAAAGGGTCGGAGGCACTTTGCTCAAATTTGTGCATACTAATGACAAACTTTCTAGAAGCATTTCCTTTTCCACTTGGTAATAGGTTTTATCAATGTAATTCGTTTGGTGTAGTAAAGATTTTCTGCTCAGTTGGCAAAGATTTTTTTGCTACCGTTCTCATTGGTATAGTAGGTGATTTAATATTTTGGATTTGATTGTTTTTCTATATATAGTGTATGCTTTACAGGAAGCATACCTGCAAATTTTTGAATTGCTTGTTTCATTCCGGTGAAGTATAAATGGATTTGTTTTCTCCACTTAAATTTTAGTATTGCTTGTTTCATTCGTGGTATGATAACTTA